TACGCTGTTTACTAAATTGGCTAAAAGAACTGCGCCACACAACTCTAAACGCGGCAAAGATGGCCTTTTAACTGGAGCCACTTTTGTTTTGCCAATTAGTAGATTTACATAAACTTTATCACCATTCACAATACGTATATATAGTGTAGCTGCGTAAGCTAACTCAGAAGAGTCACAAAAGCCATGAAATTCAATATAAGAACTAGGCGTATATTGAACCCAACGATCAAGTTTAATTGTATCAATCTCATTATAATTAGAAATGAATGTCTTCCATTTTTGTAGAGCCACAGGTTTTATATGTTCGTCCCAGTCTATTTTGTCGAGCCACATTTGCTGCATCAAAATCTTTGCTGTTATAATCACTGGGGCCAACCAACCTGCTGGATCAAATAGCCTTGCTATAATTGAGAGTACTTCCCTCTTTGTATAAGCTGTTTTGAACTTAATCTTCTCAGTTGTAAAATAAAAGTAATCTTCTGCCGCATTCCAACGGACACCGAGTGTTTTAGCATTACTTTTATCATCGAGCGACAAAAAAGAAGAGTTAAGAAGATGTTCTTGGGGCAAATTTTTTAAAATTTGTTTAGAGTTTGAGGCCCATTTTCTCAACTCAAACCCAGCTGTACCCAATATACCAATTAATTGGTCTCGTGCCTCCAAAGCATCAGGGATCGAATGAGCTCCAACAAGAGCATCATCAACATACATTGACTCACGAAGAATTCTTGAGCCTAGCGGAAAACATCGTTCTTCATCGTCAGCTAACTGTAAAAGCGTTCTAAGGGCCAAAAAGGGGGCACAATTAACGCCAAAGTGACGGTGTTCAACTGATAATCTTCGATTTGGGTTTCACTAGGACTACGAAAAACTATCTTCTGATACTGTCTATGTTCAGATTTTAATAAAATTTGTCGATACATTTTGGATATATCTGCATTAAAGACAAACTGAAAGAGTCGCCATTTTAGAATTAGGGCTACTAAATCAGCTTGCAATATAGGGCCTACAAACAGCAAATCGTTAAGACTGTTACCATTAGAAGACGAGCTTGAAGCATTAAAAACAATTCTTAACTTTGTGGTGGTACTGTCAGGCTTAAAAACTCCATGGTGAGGTAAATAATAACTCGGACTACTTTCTGAATTTTCAATTTTCTCCATGTGTCCCAAAGCTATGTATTCTTTTAAAACCTCATCATATTGAGCCTTAAATTCAGGATTTCGCATTAAAACCTTTTCATTTCTTAAATATTGACTGAGAGCAATATGACGATTTGGGCCAAGTGACGAAAAAGTATCTTTAAAGGGCAAACAAACTATATATCTTCCTTCAGAATTTCTTGTGGAAGTAGAAAGATAGATCTCTTCACATTTTTTATCCTCTTCTGATAAAATCTTTCTACGAGAAACTTCTTCTAACTCCCAAAACTTTGTTAACTGATCGTCAATGGAAACTTTTGTCATATAATTGGTTATTGAAAAACGTGAGGAATCATTACTTGGAGTTGGGCCTGTGACAATCCAGCCAAAAATTGTCTCTTGGGCCACTAAAGATTCGAAAATTCCATGTTGAACTCCATCACGAAGAATTAGGGGATACAAATCACCTCCTAACAATAAGTCTATTTCACTGCTTTCATAAAACTTGGGGTCAGCATAATTCAGATTGGGCAAATCTATATTCTTTGGAGGCTTAAATGTATGTGTAGGTACATTTCCTGTTACACGGAACTACTAAAGCCTGAATATTTAGAGATACATTTTGATCAAACAGAGAAACAATTATAAAGTTCGCAATCTTTGAAGATTTGCTTACTAATTCTCCTCCTAAACCAGTAATTTCTGCGGAAACTGGCTTATTGGGCAACTTCAATACAGTTTGTATTCTCTGAGAAACAAAACTTTCATCCGAACAAGGATCTATGAGTGCTCGAACTTTGTAATAGGAACCACAACTAATTATATTGACCCAAGCTGTAGCCAACATCACTTTCTTAGCTACTGATGTGTGATGTGACTGAACAACACCAGACGGACCTGCGATATTAGTGGACTGTAATTGATTTGTATTTGTGGACTGTATTTGTTGGACAGAACTATTTTGACTTTCGCCCTGAAATCTAGTATTTCCTTGATTTTGGCTATTATTGTTTTTATTTACAAAATCCCTATGCATTAAAGTATGGTGCTTCCTTTTGCACTTGGAGCAACCGTTTGTGCTACTACAATCACCATACATATGTCCAATGTTGAGGCAATTAAAACAATAACGAAATTTTTTCAAAGTTGAAACACGATTTCTATAATCCATATTCAAAAATCTGGTACAGGAGCTGATTTTATGGTTTTCTTTGCATAATTTGCAAAAAATGGTTTCAACTTTAGTATTATGGGCCTTAAATTGTTTTACTTTAGTTGATGTATGGTTATTGTTACTATTAAGTGCCGATTGGGAACCACTGGGATTTGAATTGTTTATAGCTATGATATCTGATACACTTTCAAGGGCATGAAATCTATCGGTGAGAAAATTATTTAATTCTTCCCATTTGGGAACCTCTGTTTTGTTCTTGAACGATTGTTCCCACAGATTAAGTGAACATTCTGAGAGACGGGATGAGCATTGGAATACAAAAATAGGGTCCCATGAATTAATATCTACATTGTATAACTTAAGGATAGCCATACAATTATTGATCTCCCTTTGAAGTCTTTTAATTTCACTAGCCGATTCTTGTTGACAAGGAGCTAAATTAAAGAGCAACTTCAATTGACTATTAATCAAAACCCGTTTATTTTCATACTGAATTTTCAAATTATTCCAAGCTATCTCAAAATTTTCTGCTGTCAGGGCAACATTTCTATTTATATCCCTTGCCTCACCATCAGTTTTTCTAAACAAGTAAAATAACTTTTCTACAGGGCTAAGTCTTGTATTGTTTATGTAAATCGCAGTAAACATATCCCTAAATGTGGGCCACGAAACGTAATCCCAATGAAAAACACCAGTATCACAAGGAGGTACGGATATGGAACCACAAAGATTGGGAATTGCTGATTCTACATTTTCTTCAGTTTTTTTACCTAAGTTTGCTTTTGCTTTGGAAATAATGTTAATACATCTTATATATGTCTTGCGGACCTGCGGATGCTTTGTTTGTACCATTAACAATTCTTTCTTTTTTTCTATTGTGACATCAGAACAATCACTATAAATGCTTTTATAATTTTCCCATGATTTATCTAATTCTGATCTTTCAAAATCAAAAGCATCGTCCGTGTAACTAGAAAAATCTTCAGCTTTAAGCATAACCTCAAAGCTGATTAATTCATCCGCAGCCACTATGTATTTTTCAAAAATCGACATATTTTAATTTATTTAAGAGAACCACAAAAATATATTTCCAAAAATTTAAAACAAATCACAGAGTCACAAACTTCTTTAAATAAAATCAAGAATGAAAAGAGAAACTGAAGTTTTTTAACACCATACAAAGTTAAAGAGAACCACAAAACTTTATTTTCCAATAAAAGAGTTAAAGAGAACCACTAAGTTAAAATGCGCCAAAATCACAATTTCCAATAAGTTTAAAAACTTGAGAAAAAAGATGGACGACAAATTTATTTAGGTTCCAAAAATAAAACAACAAATACAAATGACCGTAAGGAAAAACGGCGGCTTAATGTAAAAGTTCACGATGTAATTTCAAAAAGTTACACAACCTCACTTTTTCCGAGCCACAAATAATGAACCACAATATATGCATATGAAACACTTTGCACTTTAATAATTTCAATTTACGCACCTTTTTTTTTACGGGAGAAGGACCAATGTTTGGGGCCAAATCGGGAATCCCGGTTGTTACCTCTTAGTTGCTGAGCTGGTTCCTAGGTGCTGGTTGTTGGCAAACTGTCTCCGGCAGCCGTCCACTTGGTTTTCTCTTGATGCGGCAGGTCAGGGCCAAATGTGTTTTTATATACACACAAACACTTGTTGTTGTGTTGCCAAAAACAACCCTTATTTTTATTTTATTAAAAAGCTTTGTTTACTTCTTTTGTTTGTATTTCTGTTTATTTTATTTAAGTTCACTTTTCCTTTTGTTTTTATTTAATTAAACTTTAATTTTATTTTAATTCTTAAACTTTTATTTTATTTCAATTTCTTTTATTAATTTTGCACTTGTTGTCTGTCCGGTGGTTGAAAAGCAATGAGAATAAAAACAAGTAAGAAATTATAGTCGGGCGTGGCCGACCATATGATACCCTACACCAATTGCCAATATTAAATGTGATTAATTTCAATAATTACGCATTTCTGTTAATCTTATATAGGTTCCAAATAATGTCTGTTCATGTTCGGTTGTATGCTGACTAGGAAAAATAGAAGACCGATTTTAATCATTTTCAACAGCCATCGTCAGTGGATCAAGAGAATAGTATGTGACACATTTTAACAAATTATATTCAAAATTGCGATCTGTTGCGTGCACACAAGTTTTACACGGTCACAAAGACGGACATAGCTTAATAAGGACAAATATTTTTGAGTGCTACAAACATCAACACATTGTTCCGATCATGGCGAAAATTACAGTGTTATTTATAATTACATATCAAACTTAGTTGTGCCAATTTTTGGGAAGATAGTAGTATTTATCGTAGTCATGAGCTAAGAGGCCCTAATCGGTAGGTCCGGTTGTATGGGGGCTAGGGAAAAAATTGGTCCGATCCTTATAAAATTTAATGTCGACATTTTATATAAAATGTTTATATAAAATCTATTTATGGTAAATTTCATATTGATATTAGTGTTTATAAGTGAATTGTGGACATTCAAGTCATTTCCTGAAGGGGATTTTGTATAGGGGATAGGGTCAAATAATGCCCGATCATTATAAAAATCGACAGTGTTATTTATAATTATATCCAACTTAGTTGTGCCGATTTTTGGAGAGATAGTAGTGTATTTGACAAAGTTATGAGCTAAAAGGCCCAAATCGGAAGGTCCGCTTATATGGGGGCTAGAGTAAAACTTGGTCCGATCCCTATAAAATTTATGTTGGGAATTATGTTTATATAAAACTCATTTGTGCCAAATTTCATCGTGATACTACTGTTTATAAGTGAATTGTGGACATTCAAGTCATTTTCTGAGGGGGACTTTGTATGGGGGCTAGGGTCAAATAATGCCCGATCTTTACGAAAATCACTAGAATTATTAAGACATATATAAAACTAAACTTTTCCAATTTTTGTAGAGATAGCAGATCATTTAACATAATTATGAGGTCAAAAGCCCTATTCGGGGGGTCCGGTTGTATGGGGGCTAGGTGAAATAATGGACCGATTTCAACCATTTTCAATAGCGTTCGTCCTTGGACCAAGAGAAGTGCATGTTCCAAATTTCATCAAATTATCTCAAAAATTGCGACCTGTAGAGTGCGCACAAGGTTTACATGGACACACAGACAGACGGACGGACGGACGGACGGACAGACGGACAGGAAGTGATTCTGAGTCGATTGGAGTTGCCATACAATGCATATTGTTCTAGCGATTTTACACTAGAGAAAATATAAACTATGTGTTACACTAGACAGACACAAACAACAGTCAATTATGCATCATTTTAGAGCATTATGATTGCACTTTAATTTGGTATATCATTTGTAGCATAATGTGTTCGTCTAAAAAATGGTCAATTTGATGGATCGGTAGAATTATTGTTCTATGTTTAAAACGCGTAATTTGAGGTTCCGATATGGTTGCAAATAACTTTGACAGTTTTCGTGCTAGGCAATAGTTTATGCATCATTTTAAAGCATAAGTGTTGCACTTTATTTTGGTGTATAATTTGTGGCATAATGAATTTTTACAAAAATTGGATAGATCGGTATATTTATTGGTACAGGTTCAAAATGCGGTAATTTAAGGCTCCGATATGGTTGCAAATATTTTTATAGTTTTCATTTATAACAGTCGTTTATACATCTTTTTATTGCACTATAGTTGCCATTTGCTTTGGTATATAATTTATTCCATAATATTTTTATAAAATGGCCAATTGGATAGATCGGTAGAATTATTTTCACAGCTTTAAAAACGCGGTAGTTGAGGTTCCGATATGGTTGCAAATAACATTGACAGTTTTCATGCTAGGGCAATAGTTTAGGCATCATTTTAAAGCATAAGAGTTGCACTTTATTTTGGTGTATAATTTGTGGCATAATGAATTTTTACAAAAATTGGATAGATCGGTATATTTATATGTACAGGTTTAGAAATGCGGTAATTTAAGGCTCCGATATGGTTGCAAATATCTTTATAGTTTTCATGTATAGCAGTCGTTTATATATCTTTTTTGCATTATAGTTGCCATTTGTTTTGGTATAATTTATTGCATAATGTTTTTAGAAAATGGCCAATTGGATAGATCGGTAGAATTATTTTCCCAGGTTTAAAAACGCGGTAATTTGAGGTTCCGATATGGTTGTGAATAACTTTGACAGTTTTCATGCTATGACAGTCATTTATGCATCATTTTAAAGCATTACAGTTGCACTTTGTTTTGGTGTATAATTTGTGGCATAATGAATTTTTACAAAAATTGGATAGATCGGTATATTTATTGGTACAGGTTTAAAAATGCGGTAATTTAAGGCTCCGATATGGTTGCAAATAACTTTTATAGTTTTCATGTTATAACAGTCGTTTATACATCTTTTTATTGCATTATAGTTGCCATTTGTTTTGGTATATAATTTATTGCATAATGTATTTTAGAAAATGACCAATTGGATAGATCGGTAGAATATTTTCCCAGGTTAAAAAAGGCGGTAATTTGAGGTTCCGATATGGTTGCAAATAACATTGACAGTTTTCATGCTATGACAGTCATTTATGCATCATTTAAAGCATTATGATTGCACTTTAATATGGTATATCATTTGTAGCATAATGTGTGTTTTACAAATTGGTCAATTTGATAGATCGGTAGAATTATTGTTCTATGTTTATTAAACGCAGTAATCTGAGGTTCCGATATGGTTGCAATTAACTTTGGCAGTTTTCGTGCTAGGGCAATAGTTTAGGCATCATTTTAAAGCATAAGAGTTGCACTTTTTGGTGTATAATTTGTGGCATAATGAATTTTTACAAAAATTGGATAGATCGGTATATTTATTGGTACAGGTTCAAAAATGCGGTAATTTAAGGCTCCGATATGGTTGCAAATAACTTTTATAGTTTTCATGTTGTCGTTTATGCACCATTTTAAAGCATTAAAATTGCCATTTGTTTCGGTATATAATTTATTGCATAATGTATTTTTAGAAAATGACCAATTGGATAGATCGGTAGAATTATTTTCCCAGGTTAAAAAGGCGGTAATTTGAGGTTCCGATATGGTTGCAAATAACTTTGACAGTTTTCATGCTAGGGCAATAGTTTAGGCATCATTTTAAAGCATAAGAGTTGCACTTTATTTTGGTGTATAATTTGTGGCATAATGAATTTTTACAAAATTGGATAGATCGGTATATTTATTGGTACAGGTTCAAAAATGCGGTAATTTAAGGCTCCGATATGGTTGCAAATAACTTTTATAGTTTTCATGTTATAACAGTCGTTATATATCTTTTTATTGCACTATAGTTGCCATTTGCTTTGGTATATAATTTATTCCATAATATATTTTTAGAAAATGGCCAATTGGATAGATCGGTAGAATTATTTTCACAGCTTTGAAAACGCGGTAGTTTTAGGTTCCGATATGGTTGCAAATAACATTGACAGTTTTCATGCTATGACAATCATTAATGCACCATTTTAAAGCATTATGATTGCACTTTAATATGGTACATAATTTGTTGCATAATGTGTGTTTTTGGTCAATTGATAGATCGGTAGAATTATTGTTCTATGTTTAATAAACGCTGTAATCTAAGGTTCCGATATGGTTGCAATTAACTTCGGCAGTTTTCGTGCTAGGACAGTCATTTATGCACCATTTTAAAGCATTAAAATTGCCATTTGTTTTGGTATATTTATTGCATAATGTATTTTTAGAAAATGGCCAATTGGATAGATCGGTAGAATTATTTTCCCAGGTTTAAAAAGGCGGTAATTTGAGGTTCCGATATGGTTGCGAATAACTTTGACAGTTTTCATGCTATGACAATAATTTATGCATAACTTTAATGCGTTACGTTTGTACTTTAACTTGGTATATCATTTGTGGCAAATGTGTTCTTCTAAAAAATTGTAAATTCGATGGATCGGTAGAATTGTTGTTCTATGTTTAAAAACGCTATGATTTGAGTTTCCGATAGTTGCAAATAACTTTGACAGTTTTCATGCCAGGACAAT